AATCAGTTGAACCTGGGAGGTGAAGGTTGCAGTGAGCTGAGTTCATGCCACTGCACTCCTGCCTGGACAACAGAGCAAGACTCCCCGTCTCAAAAAAAAAAAAAATGTATTTGGATCTAAGGAAGAACAATAGGTAAATTAACAATAGGTAAAAAAAATTTCTTTTTTTTTTGAGATGGAGTTTTGCTCGTTACCCAGGCTGGAGTGCAATGGCATGATCTCGGCTCACTGCAACCTCTGCCTCCTGGGTTCAAGCAATTCTCCTGTCTCAGCCTCCCGAGTAGCTGTGACTACAGGCATGCGCCACCACACCCAGCTAATTTTTGTATTTTTAGTAGAGACGGGGTTTCACCATGTTGACCAGGATGGTCTTGATCTCTTGACCTTGTGATCCACCTGCCTCGGCCTCCCAAAGTGCTGGGATTACAGGTGTGAGCCACTGGGCCCGGCCAAATATTTTTACTTGGTAGGAAAGCAAAGCCCTTTCTCCCACCCTCATCCAAAAATAAATAATTTTTTTTTCTTCTCTAGAAAATAACAAAATGTATCAGGCTGAAGTTAATATTATCAGTATTGTTATTTGTAAGTCTTATACCTCCATAGACTTACCTTGTCTTTTTTTTTTTTTTTGCAAATAAGAAATAATTTTTTTTTTTTTTTAGATGGAGTCTTGCTCTGTCAGCCAGGCTGGAGTGCAGTGGTGCGATTTTGGCTCACTGCAACCTCTGCCTCCCTGGTTCAATCCTACTGCAGCCTCCCAAATAGCTGGGACTACAGGCACCCACCACCATGCCCAACTAATTTTTTGTTATTTTTAGTAGAGACAGGGTTTCACCATATTAGCTAGGATGGTCTCAATCTCCTGACCTCATGATCCGCCCTCCTTGGCCTCCCAAAGTGCTGGGATTACAGGTGTGAGCCACCACACCTGGCCAATAAAAAATATTTTTAAAAACAGAAATAAGGTAAATACCTGCTCCATTCCATTTGATTTTCTGTGTCTTCACATAAACATGATATCACCTGTGATTCTAAAGGTCCAAGTATTTAGAAATAGATCATGTTAAGGTTCACATGTTTAATAAGAATTTGAAAGGCAGATTTTAGAAAGGTTAAAGATCAGACAATCTCTTTGTGAGCTTCAAAAATGCTATTTCCAGACCATCACTTGAGAAGCTGAATATAATTTTGGCCACAGATCATGTAAGATCTGTTGTAGTTTAAAAGCAAGTTTTTTCTTTTTTTTTAATTTTTGCGTTATTCTGACATCTTCTGGCCAAAAGAGAGTGCTGCATTTCAACAGTTAAACATTCTCAAGCTCATTCTCAAGAGACAGAAAGCAATAAATGTTCCCCCCTAGAGTGTAAATTAGTTCAACCATTGTGGAAGACAGTGTGGTGATTCCTCAAGGATCTAGGAATCCATTTGACCCAGCAATCCCATTACTGGGTATATATCCAAAGGATTACAAATCGTTCTACTATAAGGACACGTGCACACGAATGTTCATTGCAGCACTGTTTACAATAGCAAAGACCTGGAACCAACCCAAATGCCCACTGACGATAGACTGGATAGGGAAAATGTGGCACATATACACTATGGAATATTATGCAGCCATCAAAAACGATGAGTTTGGGTCCTTTGTAGGGACATGGATGAACCTGGAAACCATCATTCTCAGCAAACTGACAGAAGAGCAGAAGATCAAACACCGCATGTTCTCACTCATAGGCGGGTGTTGAACAATGAGAACACATGGACACAGGGAGGGGAGCACTACACACTGGGGTCAGTTGGGGGGAAATAGGGGAGGAACGGTGCGGGGTGGGGAGCTGGGGAGAAATAGCAAGGGGAGAGATGCCAGATGTAGGTGATGGGGAGGAAGGCAGCAAATCACACTGCCACGTGTGTACCTATGAAACAATTTTGCATGTTCTTCACATGTACCCCCAAACCTAAAATGCAATAAAATAAATAAATGGGAAAAAATAAAAATAAAAAAAAATAAAAAAAATAAATGCTCCCCCTTCAAGAGCAGCAAGATCGCCCATCTCTATAAACTGCTTCTCTCCACTACAGCATAGCCCCTCAGCCTCCACTGAGAATTTCACTGAGTAGACGAACTTGCAGCCTGCCCTTTACAAAAATGTACTAACAGAACAGAAGGAAAAAAATTAAATTCTGTCCTGCTGAGAAGAAAAAATATTAAATTCTGTAAAGCTTTTTTTTGGAGAAAAAAGAGTCTCTAATTTGGATTCATTTTTTTTTCTTTTTTTACAGAGGGGCCTGTCACTCTTTCACTGAGGCTGGAGTGTGGTGCATAATCACAGCTCAGACTCCTAGGCTCAAGTGGATCCTCCCACCTCAGCCTCCCAAGTAGTTAGGACTACAGGCACAGGCCACCACACATGGCTAATTTATTGGCTAATTTATTGATTTTGTTTTATTTTTATTCATTTATTTATCTATTTATTTATTTTGAGATGGAGTCTCATTCTGTCACCCAGATTAGAGTGACTGGAATGTAGTGGCACGTTCTCTGCTCACTGCAACCTCCACCCCCTGGGTTCAAGTGATTCTCAGCCTCCTGAGTAGCCGGGACTATAGGCGCTCACCACCACCACACCCAGCTAATTTTTCTATTTTTCGTACAGACAGGATTTCACCATGTTGGCCAGGCTGGTCTCGGACTCCTGACCTCAAGTGATCCACCCACCTCAGTCAATGAAAGTGCTAGGATTATAGGAATGAGCCACCATGCCCAGCCTTATTTTATTTTATTTTTTTTTTTTGACAGATTTTCGCTCGTCACCCAGGCTGGAGTGCAATGGTATGATCTCTGCTCACTGCAACCTCCACCTTCAGGGTTCAAGCAATTCTCCTGCCTCAGCCTCTCAAGTAGCTGGGATCATAGGTGCCTGCCACCATGTCCAGCTAACTTTTGTATTTTTAGTAGAGACAGGGTTTCACCATGTTGGCCAGGCTGGTCTCGAACTCCTGACGTCAGGTCTCAAACTCCTGATCTACCTGCCTTGGCTTCCCAAAGTGCTGGGATTAAAGGTGTGAGCCATGGCGCCCAGCCAATTTTTTTTTTTTTCAAACTTAACTTGGTGCTCATTTGTTACAGCACTAAATTTCTCATTTTTGGTAGAGATGGGATGGGGGCTCGCTATGTTGCCCAGGCTGGTCTCGAACTCCTGGTCTCAAGTGATCCTCCTACCTTGGCCTCCCAAAGGTCTGAGATTATGTGCATGAGCTATTGTGTCCAGCCTGGATTCAAAAAAAATTTTTTTTTCTCTTTTTCTTTCTCTTGCCCGCGCCCCCCAACCCCCACTGGTGCCTCACCAAGTAGGAAGACTACATATGGATTCAATTTTTTTTTTTTTTTTTTTGAGACAGAGTTTCACTCTTGTTGCCAAGGCTGGAATGCAGTGGCACGACCTCAGCTCACTGCAACCTCAGCCTCCCAGGTTCAAGCAATTCTTCTGCCTCAGCCTCCCAAGTAGCTGGGGACTACAGGCATGGACCACCACACCTGGCTAATGTTCGTTTTTATTTTTAGTAGAGATGGGATTTCACCATGTTGGCCAGGCTTGTCTCAAACTCCTGACCTCAGGGGATCCTGCTGTCTTAGCCTCCCAGAGTGCTGGGATTACAGGCGTGAGCCACCACGCTTGGCCTGGATTCAAAATTTTTAAAGATTGATTCTGGACTCAAATTGAAAAACAAGATCTTTCTAAAAGGTAGAAACTGATACTAAGTTATTTACTACAACTTTTTCTTTCTTTTTTGTTTTTTTGAGATGGGGTCTCACTCTGTCACCAGGGCTAAAGTCTGGAGCACAGTGGCATCATCTCAGCTCAAGCAATCCTCCCACTTAAGCCTCCAGAGTAGCTGGGACCACAGGGGCATGCCACCATGCTTGGCTAATTTTTATATTTTTAGTAGAAGGGTGGTTTCACCATGTTGCCCAGGGTGATCTCAAACTCCTGGCCTCATGGGATCTGCCCACCTCAGCCTCCCAAAGTGCTGGGATTACAGGTGTAAGACACTGTGCCCAGCCACTTACTATGGCCTTATGCCAAATTTACCTAGGAAGTTCAATTTAAGTCCACTAAATCTTTAAAATGTCTGCAACAATAAAGAAATGCAGGTACTTATGCATTCTAGGTCCTATATACATCTTCTGGTCTTGCCTTCATATATTAGGGCCTGTGTGTTTTTCAAGTTTTCTGTTTGATATAATGTATCTCATTGCATAACAGTCCTTCTTTCCTAGGAACTAACCATTACTGTCTCCTACCACAAGAAAAGCACTGAGCTTCATTTTTAAAAAGTTCCCACCAGGACTGGCTCACACCTGTAATACTAGTGCTTTGCGAGCCTGAGGCAGGAGGATGTTTGAGGCCAGGATTCAAGTGACCAGCCTGGGCAACACAGTGAGAACCTGTTTCTACATAAAAGTTTTTTTTTTTTTTAAATTAGCTGGGTATGGTAGTATGCACGTGTAGTCTCAGCTACTTGGGAGGCTGAGGTGGGAGGACTGCTGAGCCCAGGAGTTCCAGGCTTCAGTGAGCCATGATGGCGTCACTGCCTTCCAGCCTAGGTGACAGAGCAAGGCCCTGTCCCAGAAAAAATAAAATAAAATAATTCCGTTTCCTTATCCTCAGAAACATCAAATAGCAATAGCATTTCTATCTTTGTGAGACGAGTAAATCACCTGATAACAAAAGAGGGTATAGTTCCACATTTCACATATGCATATGAGGATACCATGTTCATAACAAATAACAGATTTCAAATGAAAATTAAGGCTGTATATTTCATAAGGAAAGCTTTACGACATTAAGGTGATCCAAATTTTAGTGGTCACAACACACATCACCCTTACAAAAATGAGAGAATACATTTGATTCTATAATCAAACTTCATATATTCTTTCTTCTGTCATTTTCGTCCCTCAAGCAACCACGTAGCTGAGAGAAAACTGGACGTACCCGAGGAGTGTATCAATAGCGCAAGTCTCTTGAGATGCCTTGTCGATCGGTAGATCAAGTTATAGCCTCGGTTTCTGACTTTGCTGTGGTGGTACTGGATGTAGCATTCAAGGAGTAAATGGAGAATCCACAAAATAACTTTCCCAAGGATTATGACCGTCTGAACTTTCAGTGGGTTTGTGTAATTTCCTGGGCACTTGTCCTCATTTGGATTAGGATAAGAACAAAGCACACCTGTCAAAAATGCTAAAATAACAAACACAAGCTGGGGGAAAGGAGAGCAGCAGGATTAATGTTCAATATTTGGAATTAGGAAGCAATAACCACCATCCCAGCATATACTCTTATACCTATAGCTTCCACTATCCTATTTTTATAAATGAGTTTTTAAATGTATTTTTGATTTGTTTTGTTTAAATGTACTTTTGTTTTTTGTGTGAGATACGGTCTTGCCCTGTTGCCCAGGCTGGAGTGCAGTGGTGTGATCTCGGCTCACTGCAGCCTCAACCTCCTGGGCTCAAGCGATCCTCCTACCACAGTCTCTAGAGCAGCTGGGACTACAGGCCCGTGGCTCCACACCTGGCCAATTTAAAAAGGTTTTTATAGAGATGCGTTCTTGCTATGGTACCCAGGCTGGGACAGAGTATGTCATACAAAAAGTTAAAGGAAAGACAAAAAGGAGGCCACCATCTGAAAACCACAAGGCCACCCCTGCACATGGTGGTACCGAGAAGGAAGTGCTTGAGCTGAGATCTGGGGATTGGGAAGCCATGGTGGAGCCATGCCACAGCTACTAGTTCCCTCAAGGAAAGGGGATATCACCTCTCTCCCCAGTGATTCCGTTCCAAACTCATCTCCCACAGTACACCTCACTGAAGAGGAATCCCAGCTGCAGGGGAACCCGGGAAATGTGCTGGGCCCTCAGTCTTCATTTCAGAGGCAACAAGTGTTAACAAGTGTTAACCAGGTCTGTGAATGCTTTTAGAAATAGTCTATTATTATTATTATTATTATTTTTGTGACACAGTTTCACTCGTTGCCAGGCTGGAGTGCAATAGTGTGATCTCGGATCACCACAACCTCCACCTCCCAGGTTCAAGTGAAGATTATGGGATTACAGGCATGTGCCACCATGCTCTGCTAACTTTTTGTATTTTTGGTAGAGACGGGGTTTCTTCAAGTTGGTCAGGCTGATCTTGAACTCCAGACCTCAGGCGATCCGCCCGCCTCAGCCTCCCAAAGTGTTGGGATTACAGGTGTGAGCCACCAAGCCTGTCCTTAGAAATATTCTATTATATACAGGACTACAGGTGCTCACCAGCCCTCTCAACTCCCTTTTAAAAACTGCAAATAGGGGCTGAGTGTGAATGGGCACACAGTGTCCTCTGGATAGCAAGTAGTTTGTAGTCTCTTGATATGATAGACAACACTGCTATTATCAGCAATATCCTTACATGTGTGCAAATATATCCACGATGAATTCTTTGAGGATATAAGTAAAAATGTATGTACTTTGTTTCTGCCCATGACACAACTGTCAGGATATCCTAAGGACATCTGTCCTACATTTTACTGGTGGGCATTTTTTTTTGAGACAGAGTCTTGCTCTGTCACCAGAGCTGGAGTGCAGTGGCGCGATCTTGGCTCACTGCAACCTCTGCCTCCCAGGTTCAAGCAATTTTCCTGCCTCAGCCTCCAGAGTAGTTGGGTCTACAGGCGTGCACCACCAGGCCCAGCTAATTTTTTTTGTATTTTAGTAGAGACAGGGTTCACCATGTCGGCCACGATGGTCTCGATCTCCAGACCTTGTGATCCAACTACCTCGGCCTCCCAAAGTGCTGGGATTACAGGCGTGAGCCACCGCACCCGGCCATGTACCCTACATTTTAAATGTTGCTAGACACAGCACAACTGCCCTCTGAAACACTTATATATGTTTTATAAACATCACCTCTGGATAGGTCCCCTTCATCCAGCCAACTTACATGAATAAACCACAGAAGATTCACTATGATGACTGTAGGAAGAGGATGGAATTGGGGTCTAAAGTGAGCTTGTAGTGAGTGATGTGGGAGAAGCTGGGCATCCAGAAGTGGGTCGTCTTCAATACTCTGGGTGATATCCAAGGAACCCTGGGGTACAGAAAAATGAAAGCAAGCTATAATCGCCACTTTCTGGATTATGTTTCTAAGACCAATCTACTAAACCATAAAGCTTTTTAACCATATACAAATTAAAGGCAAGAAAACACATTCCCTACCTAAAGACAATTTTTAAAAATTAATTAATTTTTTTAAAATTGTAGAGACAGGGTCTCGCTATGTTGCCCAGGCTGGTCTTTTTTGTTTGTGTTTTGTTTTTTGTTTGTCTTTGAGACACAGTCTTGTTCTGTTGCCAAGGCTGGAGTGTAATGGTGCAATCTCGGCTCACTGCAATCTCCATCTCCCAGGTTCAAGCGATTCTCTTGAGTAGCTGGGACTACAAGCATGTGCCACCACATCCAGCTAATTTATTTTTATTTTTAGTAAAGATGGGTTTTCAATATGTTGGCCAGGCTGATCTCAAACTCCTGACCTCAGGTGATCCACACGCCTCAGCCTCTCAAAGTGGTGGGATTACAGGTGTGAGCCACCGCGCCTGGCTCCAGGCTGGTCTTGAACTCTTGGCACCAAGTGATCCTTCTGTCTAGGCCTCCCATATTGCTGGGATTACAGATGTGAATCACCACACTCAGCCTAAAGCCAATTAAAAAAATATACTCACCTATGAATAACTACTATGTATATCTTGGGAAAACAAGTTTTTAAATGGGTAGAGGAGATCTTAAATTAATTATATCTACATCTCTCTTTTTTTAAATTAGAGACAGAGTTTCTGGCATCTGGCAACAGAACGAGACTAACAAGACTTTGTCTCAAAAAAAACAAAAAACATATATATTGATTTATTTAACATTACTTATATTGTTGAAATAATTACATACAGTTGCAAATTTTTTTTTTTTTGAGACACGGTTTCACTCTTGTTGCCCAGGCTGGAGTGCAATGGTGTGATCTCGGCTTACCACAACCTCTGCCCGCCCTGGGTTCAAGCAATTCTCCTGCCTCAGCCTCCTTAGTAGCTGGGATTACAGGCATGTACCACCATACCTGGCTACTTTTTGTGTTTCTTTCTTTCTTTCCTGTCCTTTCTTTCTTTTTCTCTCTCTCTTTCTTTCTTTTCTCTTTTCTTTTTTTCTTTTTTATTCTTCCTCTCTCCTGAGGGATACTTTCTGTATTTTTAGTAGAGACGAGGTTTCTCCATGTTGGTCAGGCTGGTCTCAAACTCCCAACCTCAGGTGATCTGTGGCACCATCTCAGCTCACTCCAAGTGATTCTCCTGCCTCAGCCTCCTAAGTAGCTGGGATTACAGGCACCCGCCACCACGCTCAGCTAATTTTTTGTATTTTTAGTAGAGATAGGGTTTCACCATGTTGGCCAGGCTAGTCTTGAACTCCTGACCTCATGTGATCCCCCTGCCTCAGCCTCCCAAAGTGCTGGGATTATAGGCATGAGCCACCACACCTGGCCCAGCTGCAATTTTTAAAATAAAGTTCTGGACATATACAGATAGTAAAAAGGTTACTATAGCGGAGCAAATTAACACATCCAACATCTCACACGGTAATCCACTATTTGTGTTTGCGGCAGCAGCACCTAAAATCTACTCATTTAGCATGGATCCCACACACAGTACAATTTTATTCCTTATAGTCCTCATGTTGTATGTAACTCCAGTAGACTTGTCCATCCTCTGTATCTGCTGCTTTGTATTCTCTGACCTACATCTCCCCATTTCTTTCCTGGGTCTGCTGCCCTAGAGTTGCAGTTCTTAAATTGTCTCTGGAGGTTCCACAAAATTTTTAAAAGTTGATAGAGGCTTTATTAAGAGTTCTTAAAACAAACTTTCCATTATGATAGAAATACTTTAGCGTACTAATGGAAACAGATGACCCGGATTGGCCCTTGAGAAAACTTCAGTTTGTAGATACCAGATTCTCTGTCTTTTTTTTTTTAAGATGGGGTTTCACAAGTTGGTCAGACTGGTCTTGAACCCCTGACCTTGTGATCTGCCAGCCTCAGCCTCCCAAAGTGCTGGGATTACAGGCATGAGCCACCACGCCTGGCATTGCTACCAGATTCTCAATGAAAGCAACTACAGAGTTGTAACGTCACCAAAGTGGCCAAGAAAGACTTAGCATGTCGAGGCTGTCACCTAAACATTTCAGCAAGTCATGTTTAAAGGTACGATTTTGACAGCAACAGTTCTTCCAGGTCTCTACTCCATATAAATGAATCGAAACTATCTCTTAGTCTCAGACCCTTACTGTAAACTATTATGTATAATACTTTGCCCGGGGTAAAAGACTATAAGGTGATTAAGTTTTCATTGGGGAGGTAAGACATAAAGACATGAAGGACTAAACAACAGTACAAGAATACACAATACAATACAGTGCACAGAGATCTGATGACAGTATAGCAATTATAGTTAACAATTCTACATTGTAAGGCCGGGAGCAGTTGCTCATGCCTGTAATCCCAGCACTTTGGGAGGCCAAAGTAGGCAGATTACTTGAAGTCAGGAGTTCGAGACCAGCCTTGCCAACATGGTGAAACATCGTCTCTACTAAAAATATAAAAAATTAGCCAGGCATGGTGGCATGCACCTGGTAATCCCAGCTACCTAGGAGGCTAAGGCAGGAGAATCACTTGGACCCAGTAGGCAGAGGTTGTAGTGAGCCGAGATTGCACCACTGCACTCCAGCCTGGGCGACAGAGCAAGACCCATTCTCAAAGAAAAAGAAATATATATATATCTATTTACACTTTTAAGTACACTCTTAACAAATTAAAGGTATATACAGTGCAGTATTGCAATATACTGCACTGTATATACCTTTAATTTGTTAAAAGTGTAGATCTTAAGTGTTCCCATCACATGTTAAAAAAAGGAAAAAGAATATGGTGCATGGGAAGTACATAATAAGTCAGCAAAGGAAAAGCGCAAAGGACAATGCAAAAAAATTAGGTTAGCTAATTACACTATGATGAGATGGAAATGAAGCATTCATAAATAGGATTTGGCTACACAGAATGAGAGCTCTTCATTTTGGAAGAAGTAGGGACTAGGACAAATGATGTTAAGGGATGGCTGTTGAGTGCTAAGATAACAAACGTAAATACATTAATCTGGGGTGTAACCCAGCTCTGGAGTGCTGGAGTGGGCTCCTCAATTTCCAGTCGAAGGCATTCAACACTACTCTGTACCTACTTTTTGTTTGTTTGTTTTTGAGATGGAGTCTTGCTCTGTTGCCCAGGCTGGAGTGCAGTGGCTTGATCTCCACTCACTGTAACTTCGGCCTCCAGGGTTCAAGCAATTCTCCTGTCTCAGCCTCCTGAGTAGCTGGGATTACAGGCACACACCACCACGCCCGGCTAATTTTTGTATTTTTAGTAGAGATGGGGTTTCACCACATTGGCCAAGCTGGTCTCGAACTCCTGACCTCAGGTGATCCACTTGCCTTGGCCTTACAAAGTGCTGGGATTGTAGGCATGAGCCATTACGGCTGGCCAACTCTTTTATTTCAATGCCTAGACTGCTTCCTGTTTAGTTTACCATAACTCATGGTACCATTCGGGTTACTCCTGTTCTCTTCAAGATCCCTCTGCCTCTAGCTCATTCTCAGTCAGCAGATGTTGGAGCTTCGAGATCTGCTCTTCCCTTAGCTAATGTCTGTGCATTCTTTCATGCTCAGAAGGGGCAATTCCTACCAGGTGGCTTTTCTGGGTGCCCCTAATCTGGATTATGCTACCCTCCATGTTTTTCAAAGTGTTCTATGCTTGCCTCTTCTATCATGCTATCCTGTGATAGTCTCTTATCTCTTCTCCACTAGACTTCATTGGACCTATTAACTCTACACCTCTTGTCTTTGTAATCCCAGCTCCCAACACTGCCTCATGGTTGTCACTCAGCAAACATTTGACAGATGAATGACTGAGTGCCCCAAACCTGTCTCTGCAGTATTTTCTAACTCGGTTATAGGCATCATCAAAGATGTGGGCTAATCAGAAGAGATTATCAGGACACATGAGGAATCAACTATGACCAAAGGCAATAAGAGCTGTGGTTAAGGGCAGGCTCCTAAGGGCAGACTGCCTGGATTCCAGCACAAGTTTCACTGCTTTCTAGCTGAGAGCAAGTTACTTCACCTCTCATGCCTCACTTTTCACATATAAAAAGGAGACTAATAATAGCACCTGTTTCATAGCTCTGTCAGGAATGTTAAATGAGTTACTACATATGCAAGTGCTCATAACACTGTCTGACACAGGAAAATCACTCAATAAGTATTAGCCACTATTATCTCTTTATTAACTGTTTTTTAAAAAATATTTTTAAATTTTAAAATAAAAAATGAGATGGGGTCTCGCTATGTTGGTCAGGTTGGTCTTGAACTCTTGGCCTTAGGCAATCCCCCCAAGTGGACTCCCAATGTACTAAGATTACAGGTGTGAGCCACCACACCTAGCCGTTTTATTAACTCTTACTTTTCACTTGCACCCTGCTATGGTCTAAATGTTGCTGTCCCTCAATAGTCCCCCACTTTCCTTTGGGAAGTAATTAAGCCATGAGAGTTCCACCCTCATAAATAGATTAGTGCCCTTATAAAAAAGGCTTGAATGAGCTCCCTTCCACCTTCCACCACTTGAGGATGCAGCAGGAAGGCGCCATCTTTAAAGCAGAGAGCAACCCCACGCCAGGGCTCTTGGCACCCTGATCTTGGACTTCCTGAATCTGTGGCTGCCTTAACCTTGGACTTCTATCCTCTAGCACTGAGAGCAATACATTTCTATTTGTAAATTATTCCATCTGTATTTTGTTATAGCAACCCAAACAAACAAAGACACTACTCCTATAATCATTACCATTCTATCCACTTAGGGCTGGGGCATGATAAAAAGAGAAAAAATCATTACCATTCTAACCCCTAAACCTGTTCTTTCCTCTCTATTCTCACTATCTTAATCCAGGGCCTCCCATTTCCCATGGCCTTTTACTAGAAGCTTCCAGTCTCCTGGTCTTGGCAATCT